CGTATAAAACACCGTTTCAAATCCTAATAAAAGCTTTCAGGCCAAAGAGGTCTCCTTAACTCAAAAAAAAAAATATATATATATATATAATATTCTTTATCCTCACGCTGTAGATCAGGCCTAAATGAAGAATCAACAAACGAGAATTCATTTATAACCTTTTCATATTGGTAATCAGATCATTTTATTTTATTTCTACTTTTAATTTTTTTTTTAAGAGCTTTTTTGATATGCTATAAGCACAGTTGTATATTACATGCTAGCTATATCTTTTTCACAGCATTTATTTTAGCAAAGTCTTTATCTGTATAGAAGTATATAGGATGCAGACCTTTGTTGTAAAGAGCTTTAAAAAAACTCAAGAGCTTCGGTTCACAATTTTTCTTGAGTATTATTACCTATCTTTGTCATGTCTAAGATAAGGTAAGCTAGAGGAAAATCTGCACCTATATAAAAGCAATGTTTTTTTAATAAATTACAAATTTTTATATTTTAATTTTAGAAATATTTAAAAAAAAAGCACCTTCAAAATTTTCAACAAGGCCATAAAGCTTAAAACACCCTTTGGCAGTTTTGTACGTGGTATCACAGTGTATTTCTGTTGAATTTCGCAATGAAGCAAACAAGAGAGTTATAAAACCAAGTGCCGTAACATTACTGGTTTCTAACCGAAAACACAAATCATAATTATTTTTTTTGCTATTTTTCAATAAAATTATATGCAGAAATAATATAATCCTCTTCATTTTTATAAAATTTTTGTGCATAGTACGACCACCAATAGTGAATTTGTTTGGAGGTAATTGCAGAAATATCAAATTTTTTTCGGAGATGTGAACGTAAGCATACTGGATCCATATTTAAATTTTCTATAATCTCTTGCTTTATCTTCGGAGGTGTTGTGATGTTAACAGGCTTTTTTTGTATTAATTCATGCTTCAATACCACTCTAGCCTTCACAGCTAGAATGTCAATATTGATTGTTAATTTGCCCCTGCAATTGAAACAGTCAATTTTTTTGCGATTCGAATCTTTGTATTCTCGCTCAAGCTCAGTACTTTGTGAACATGCAAAATATGCATTACTGACACTTTTATGACGGGATGAAATATTTGGTGCAGTAGTTGCTCTATATTAGAAAAGTTTGGCTATAATAGTAAGGTATTAATTTTTCTAAATGTTAATCTGCCTGATTTCTATTGATGGCAGCCCACTTAAAATTTACTTATGTCAATTTGAACTTGACACCTTTCTCAATTTTATCAACAATCAGTTTGGCTATTACTCTAACATCTGTGCTGATAGTGTTAAGAGTAGCTTCATTAAGCTTAACACAAAAAGTAGAAGAAAGTGTAGTATCATATTTTAATCTACTAATTTCATCTGAAATGTGATCACTAATTTTATTAATCAAAATTATTTCAATAGGGGTTTCTTCACTGACAGCTTTTTTAAAATTTTTTTTTCCAGTTCTACTAGTCATACAGCTAGCACATGTCTTATTTAATTTGTTCTTATATATGAATACTTCAGGGGAAGCTTTCGATAGCAAGAGCTGCAGGTATTCATTAGATGGTGATTGCAAAGCAAAAGGTTTGAATAATTTTTTTTTTTGAAGTTTACTCAAGAATTTAAAGATAAGTTTTTTAAAAGTTTTGGTTAAATTATTTACTTTGAGCTTATTATTATTACATTACATTTGTGTAATTGATCATTGACAAGAAGTATAAAGTGTGTCATTTAGTAAATGATGCATTTTATACTTCTTGTCAATGATCAATTACGCAAATAAACAGTAATTTATAAAGAATGAAGCAATAATTATTTAATTTATTCGATTAATTATTAATAAACTTTGAAAAGTATCTTGAATTATCTATTTAAATATTGTTAATTTATTTGATAACTTTTTTGATTCAACTATCATGATTAGGATTATAAAATTACTGCAATTTTATTTAATTATTTATATAATTTTGTAATTTAACTATCTAAATACAATTTGTGAACAAACCATATATTGTGCAAATAATATAATCATAAGGGGAATCAATAAAATCATAAAGTTTGCAATACATGATTTATTTAATTTAGAATTATTATTTTTAGCAACTTCACGATTCAAAAAGTTTTTTATTATTCAAGTGATGAAATATGCTTGGAATCACATAAGTTTAGATACTCGAATTTAGTTTATTTAACATTGAATCGCGAATTATTTGATTTTGGTTTGTTTTATACTTCAATTAAAAGAAACTTTGATGAAAATTTGGTTAATTGGCCGATTGGTTGTGTGGACGTCGGACCTATGTGATCTAGATCGGAAAGTCATGTGACCGGAAATCAATCCTACGCCCTGGTATTGTTAAACTACTACACTAAGTCACCATACCTCTATTTAATAAAAATTGTTTAGCCAGTAATTTTGCTAAATGTAATTTATTTGTTTAATTAGCATTCAAATTAATAAATTAGCTCAAATAGACATTTCTGATTAAAATCTATTTTAGCCTGATTTGTACCAAAATTTAAAAGCAATCAGCAAATAATAATATTGTCCAATATCTTCAAATCAGTATTTTATCAGATTTAAATTAGAATGCCTATTGATATCTATTTGCTAATTTATCTAAAATCAGAAATATACTAATTTGCCTTTTTTCTACCTGTGTTAGTATTTTGGCCTAAACCTTCCCAAAGTCTGAAACATTTTGCCAATTTGATCTGCAAAATTGGGTTTCACCCAAAATACTGGTATCACTAGAATTTGGCAAAGAACCACCTGATATATATACATATATATATATTACACAATTTAATATAGATATGTGAGTGGTCAAGTTGTCACCCTCTCCAAGTAGCAGGTCTAGGGTTCAAATCCCATGGACGACGAAAGTTTGAAAAATAG